GAGAGATAGAGAGATGGGAAAGAGAGAGAGAGTGGTAGATATAGAGAGAGGCAAAAGAGAGAGAGAGTAAGAGAGATGGGGAGAGAGTAAGAGAGAGATAGAGAGTATGAGATATAGAGAGAGAGGAGAGAGAGGAGAGTAAGAGAGATAGAGAGAGAGTAAGAAAGAGAGATAGAGAGTATGAGATAGAGAGAGAGTAAGAAAGAGAGATAGAGAGTAAGAGAGATAGAGAGAGAGTAAGAAAGAGAGATAGAGAGTAAGAGAGATAGAGAGAGAGTAAGAAAGAGAGATAGAGAGAAGGAGAGATAGAGAGAGGTAGGGAGATAGAGAGTAAGAGAGTAGAGAGAGAGAGAAAAGAGAGATAGAGAGTAAGAGAGATAGAGAGAGTAAGAAAGAGAGATAGAGAGATGAGAGATAGAGAGAGAGTAAGAAAGAGAGATAGAGAGTAGGAGAGATAGAGAGAGAGGAAGAAAGAGAGATAGAGAGGTAAGAGAGAGAGAGAGAGAGTAAGAAAGAGAGATAGGACTAATGAGAGTCTCACTGGAGATTCTTAAACTATAAGGTTTCTTGGGTGTCTTTTCAGATCTTGTCTGATAGAAATTATATTAATGGAAAGAAGATGAACCAAGATTATATATATATACATATATAGTAGGAGTAGTCACTGAATGTCGCATATATCTACGACTCAATAACTCAACACAGCTAGAGTAACTACTTTTGTATTAGGATATTTAATATTAAGGTACAAAATGATTGAGTAGTGGCTATTAGGGAGGCTGGAGCCACCTCACCTCACCTCACCTCACCTCACCTCACCTCACCTCACCTCACCTCACCTCACCTCACCTCCACAAAAAAAAGTAGCAGCAGCAGCAGCATTATAGCCTCAGCTCACAACTTTAAGACACAGTTCACTGGCCCAGCTGTGTGAGCCTGTGGCTAAGGGCTCATAGCAGGTTCAGTGCTGATGAGGGACAGTGACACAGACAGACACATGTTAATAGATAGATAGATAGATAGATAGATAGATAGATAGATATAGATAGATCAGGTTCTCGTCACAGGTTGCATATTCACCAGGAAGCAGTCAGCGTCAGCACGAGCGATCACCAACACCAGACGGACGTTCGCCAGCCATCACTTCACCTCAAGTAGGTCATTAAGTTCTTATTCTTTTAATACCTTAATTGCCGTCATTTCCTTACTAACAACCGTCCCTCCCTTAATGGTGTAGTTGATGTTCCTGTAATTACCTGCTGTGGCATCAATCACCATCATCACCATTACTATCATTAACCTCTTAACTGGTGGTTGTAATTACTTAATCACGGTGATTATATGAGAGGATTCCCAGGGGGTAATTAGTGTTGTAGCTTTAATAATGTATGTGGTAATGTGAGTCAGTTTGGTGATTACCGTCAACAGTTTATTTCTGTTAAATGGTCTTTATGTTCTTACTACTGACGCCTTCAGGAGATCATGTACACGTAGGTAGGCCATGTGTGTACCGATCGGTCATGTACACACAGGTGAGTCATGTGTGTACAGGTTGATCATGTATATTCATCTACACTGATCTCCTGCGTGTACGTTGAGACACGTCAACCAGGTAGCCAATCAGCGAAAAGGTTGTGAAAAGCCACTCAACCACAACCAATCAGAATCAAGGATGCTCCAAGAAATACAATTTTAGTATATCAACGCTGATGGAGTAGAGACCAACATCCAATTAGCGTTCAGTTTTCCTGAGGATAATTATATTAGCAAATCAGCGCCAAGGATTAGCCAAAAACCACAAGCTAAGTGAACTGGAGGCTCAAGAAGGAGAAAGCAAGAACCAATCAGCGTGAAGAATTTAAATAGGGCTAGACTCTTAGCCAATCAGCGCTTCAGGATTATTAAGATGGTTTCTATCAGCCTCAAGATACGCCAGAGGGCTAGTGTCTTAGCTAATCAGCGCTCCAGGATTATAAGAAGAAGTGGCCAATCAGCGTCGAGGGACTCCCGAGGGCTAGAATCTCAGCCAATCATCTGTATTTAAGACGGGACATGAGTAGAGGTAGTTTCACTTTGGACTCTTGAGCTGAAGAAGCTCGGTCGGGGGGGGTGGAGGGAGGGAGGGTGGGAGAGAGGGAGGGGAAGGGGGTGGGGGGAGGGTGGGAGAGGAGGAAGGGGGGGTGGAGGGAGGGAGGGTGGGAGTAGAGGGAGGAAGGGGGTGGGGAGGGAGGGAGAGGGTGGGGAGTAGAGGGAGGAAGGGAGGGGTGGAGGAGGGAGAGGTGGGAGTAGGAGGGGAGGAAGGAGGTGGAGGGGAGAGAGGGTGGAGTAGAGGGAGGAAGGAGGTCTTAAGAGAGGGAAGAGTGTGCAGGTAGTCTCTCTGTATTAAAGAAAGTATAGTAAAAAATTAAAGAAAGTATAATGGAAAAATTATAGAAAGTATTAAAGATAGTTAAAGAAAGTATGAATAGGAGTTTCTTAAAAGTTACTCCAGAACTTTGTGCCGTAATTAAAGAAGGGAGCTCTGATGACACAAGACCCATGACTGAAGACCCATGACTCAAGCCCCATGACTCGAGACCCATAACCCAAGCCCCATGACTAGAGATCCATGACTCAAGCACTATGACTAGAGATCCATGACTGGCCCCATGACTAGAGATCCATGACTCAAGCCCTATGACTCAAGACCCATAACCCAAGCCTAATGACTTGAGATCCATTATTCAATACCCATAATTTATGAGTTATCACTGATTATAAAGGTAACTATAATAAATAATAGTATAATAATAATAATAATAAGCATAATAATAATAATAATAATAATAATAATAATAATAATAATAATAATAATAGTAATAATAATAATAATAATATAATAATAATAATAATAATAATAATAATAATAATAATAATAATAATAATAATAATAATAATAATAATAATAATAATTAATAATAATAATAATTAAATAATAATAATAATAATAATAATAATAATAATATTAATAATAATAATTAATTAATAAAATAATAATAATAATAATAATAATAATAATAATAATAATAATAATAATAATAATAATAATAATAATAATAATAATAATAATAATAATAATAATAGTAATAATAATAATAATAATAATAATAATAATAATAATAATAATAATAATAATAATAATAGGTCGGTAAACTCTACGGACATCACCATCACATTTCACTTTCATCTACCTTTAACGGTCAGGTTCTCAGCTGAATAAAATCATCTGGCGTTAACCCGAATATAATACCTATGGGTTACTTTGCCACCAACTCTATTAATAAACTGTTTATTATTATTATTACACTCACTGGTTGTATACAAGATGGACGAGACTATAAAAACATCTTTAATAATACGAGAGAGACGAACTGACGGACAGACTTAGATGTATATATAGATAAAGGAATATTTCATTATATTTTGCGAGTATAACAAAGCTTTTATAGTACTGGTATTAACCTCTGATAACATCATTAATGTATGAATGTGTAGGTGTGTCTGTAATAATAATAATAATAATAATAATAATAGTAATAATAATAATAGTAATAATAATAGTAATAATAATAATAATAATAATAATAATAATAATAATAATAATAATAATAATAATAATAATAATAATAATAATAATAATTAACGGTTTATTAAGATAACATGACAGCCAGAAGGTTGAAAATATACAATAAACAGGGATAATAAGTTACATATGGTGCAACTGGGGAGTGGGTCACTTGAGTAACTAAAGCTTTCAGTACAAAAGGATAAGAAACATAGAGTCAACATATAGATTAACTATATATCTGGTACTGTGGGAACTGGACTTGTAAACACTCTTGTGTATGTACGTATGTATGTATGTATGTATGTATGTATGTATGTATGTATTTATGTGTGTAGGTGAAACTAAATACAGAGAATTTCATATTGTCTTATAAATTAGAGACACAGAAAGAGAGAGAGAGAGAATTAGAGATAATAAGAGATACAATATTAGACGAAATAACAACGAAAGAGACACTACTTGTTGAACACACTCATCATCATCATTCTCTGTGTGCTGTGATAGGTGTGTTCTGCTGTTGTGTTTTGATGTTTCATGTTCTCTTGTGGTGTTCAGACGTTGTGTTCTGTTGTGTGGTGTTCAGACGTTGTGTTCTGTTGTGTGGTGTTCAGACGTTGTGTTCTGTTGTGTGGTGTTCAGACGTTGTGTTCTGTTGTGTGGTGTTCAGACGTTGTTGTGTTCTGTTGTGTGGTGTTCAGACGTTGTGTTCTGTTGTGTGGTGTTCCGTTATGTTCTGTTGTGTGGTTGTGTTCTGTTGTGTGAGTGTCTATGACTGTGTTCTGTTGTGTGGTGTTCTTGAGACGTTGTGTTCTGTTGTTCCGTTGTGTTCTGTTGTCAGGTGTTCAGACGTTGTGTTCTGTTGTGTGGTGTTCAGACGTTGTGTTCTGTTGTGTGGTGTTCAGACGTTGTGTTCTGTTGTGTGGTGTTCAGACGTTGTGTTCTGTTGTGTGGTGTTCAGACGTTGTGTTCTGTTGTGTGGTGTTCAGACGTTGTATTCTGTTGTGTGGTGTTCAGACGTTGTGTTCTGTTGTGTGTTCGTCTTCTATATTAAGACCCCAAATGTCCATCGGGTTTACTACGGTGCTTCACCTCACTTCACCTGAGATGAACAACTGTTGTCACTGAAGCCATATAAAGATACTTGACATTGGCCAGAGTTAAGGGCGCCTGACCTTGGATGAAGAATAAATACCATCTGCTCTACTGCAACGAAGTTATTAACATTGGTCTCAAAGTTTATAACACTGAGACAGAACAAGTTAATAACACTGAAACAACGCAAATTAATGGCACTGACATAGAACAAGTTAATGACACTGACATAGAACAAATTAATAACACTTAAACAACACAAGTTAATGGCACTGATATAGAACAAGTTAATGGCACTGACCTAAGATAAGGACAACGATGGAGAGCGGCATGACGAGGGAGGCCACCATGAGGTCGGTGACGGCGAGGGACAAGAGGAAGTAGTTGGTCATGTTCTGGAGGCGACGATCCCACGAGATGGCCAGGATGAGCAGTATGTTGCCGAAGAGCGTCAACAACACCACCAGCAGGGCTACCAGACCCCACCAATTGGCTGCTGGCGTCGTCAGTGGCCCTCCTCCTCCTCTTCCTCCTCCGATATCCTCTTCCTCCCATGTCGCTGTGGTGTTGTCGTCGCCGCTCCAGTAAGTCAGGTTGCCAGGGTAGGCCAGAGTGGAGAGGTTGAGAGCATAGAGGTAGTCGTGGAGGAAGGGGCTGGTGGTGATGGGGCCGAGGTCCCCAGGGGCGGTCATGGAGGTCACTTTGATACACTTTAGCACACTTTAACACTTAGACTGCACTTTTATACATAGAAAAAAAAATAGGCGCCACTTTTTAACCTTACTGCCTTGGCGACACTGACGATACCGATCTTTGCTTCCTGGAATTTCTACTCACTCGAACGTATCAATACGATCTTTTAACGTTCCTCCTTCCGTTCACTTGATTCCCATCACCTGCCGGTCACTGGAACACACTTCATTGCCAAGTCGCTGCCATATGGTGTGATTTAATTAAGGCTATGTCACTGGTCTGTGTATCTCACCAGGCCGCTGCACCAACCACGTAAATATAATCCCACTAGCACCAGGCAGATAGTGTGACTTACTGTAGCTTACCGCTTGGCCTTGTTGTAGCTGCACCAAGCAAGTCAAAGCTACGGGCACCAAGCAGAAGGTGTGACTTGAGGTGTTAATGGTTCGTTTATCTCATCAGGCATCTACACCAAGCACGTCAGTACTACAAGCACCAAGCAGATGGCATTTTGTGGTGCATTTAAATATATATATATCACCAGCGTTTATATCTTCACAAAGTAGTTTCTCTAGACACGAAGAATCTGCCTGTCTGTCTGTCTGTCTGTCAACGAAATGGTTAAAGGAACCTTAGGCTACGTTTCATTGGTCAGTATTCTTATATATGAGGCTGAGAGTTGTTTAGTATATGAATGACATATATGACACGCAGCTCACTTATATCGATGTTTTTTTTATATTTCAAGACGTTTATGTTTTGTAGATATTATATGGAATTATAACAGCTGGGCAAGGTATATATATATATATGTCATTATACCTGCTTATGTAAATGCGTATAGCTTATATCACTGCCGGTACGAGTGATGGACATTATATAGGAGAAGCATATATGGTAAAAATCGATTCAGCAGGTATGTATATATAAGACGAACACCCACACGGTCACAGACGAAATATATGCGACATTTCACACCTGTACACTTAAGACAGGTATGTAAATAAGCATATCTTCCTACTCTCCATATCTGTCGCTTTCTGAAGGTGATTAATTAATTTTACTAAAACACACCTGCACCCCTCAACAAGTCTCTAACACACATGTGGCCTCAACACTGTCTGAAGTGGAGTAGTTCACATGTGCTCTGGTCAGGTGTGGTAGGTGTGTCCTTGATTCTACCTGTCTTACGTCATAACTGTAAGGAAGTAGGTGTGTTGTGGTCAATTATTTCTCTTCCCAGGACGAAAGACTTCACGCCACACCGCTGACGGCAACACACCTGGGGAAAATAATCATAATTGATATAGGTGAGTTGAGCAAATTAATTACACACACACACACACACACACACACACACACACACACACACACTGTAAATTAAGACAAATAAAGCTAAAGGGATTCTAAAAAAAATTGAAATATTTTTAGCCCTGAGTGTAATTATTACGAGTTAACTTATTAATTAAATGACGACGTACATAGAGAGATGACGCAGCACGATACAACGCACCGTGAGACCACAACACAACACAACACAACGACACACCACAGCAACACAACACAACCACAACTACAACACAACACAACACAACACGACACAACGACACACCATGGTTACAACACAACACAACACAACTGCTTTAAGCACACACCGTGGACCCACAACACAATAACACAACCTGGCTTTAGCAACACAACACAACTTTACTTGGACACAACCACAACCTAACCCACAACACGACACCACAACACAACCACAGCAACACAACACAACACAACACAACACGACACAACACGACACACCATGGACCCGCAACCACAACACAACACAACGCTTACAACTTACACCGTGGACCACAACACAACTAACTAACACAACACAACACAACACAACACAACTTACACCGTAGACCCACAACCTGGCACAACCCCACAACACAACACCGTGGACCTAACCTAACCCACAACCACAACACAACACAACACAACACAACACAACACACCGTGGACCACAACACAACACAACACAACACAACACACCGTGGACCACAACACAACACAACACAACACAACACAACACAACACACAGAAATGGACCACAACACAACACAACCTGTACACCACAACACAACACAACACAACACAACACAACACAACACAACACAACACAACACAACACACTGCAACACAACTTCCCCCCCCAACACAGCACACAACACAACACACCGTGGACCACAACACAACACACCTAGCACAACACAACACAACACAACACGACACACCATGGACCGCAACACAACACAACACAACACAACACAACACAACACAACACAACACAACACAACACAACACACCGTGGACCACAACACAACACAACACAACACAACACAACACAGCACAACACGACACACCATGGACCGCAACACAACACAACACAACACAACACAACACAACACAACACAACACAACACAACACAACACACCGTGGACCACAACACAACACAACACAACACAACAGACATTATTGCATTTTGCTTTACTTTCTAATTTTGGAAATAATACCAAAAACAGAGGATTTCTTGTGGCCTTTAATTAATTCTTCCCTTAATCCTAATCTGGGTCTGGGGAGACTTTGGGTTTGTCTGTTTGTTTGTTTGTTTGTTTGTTTGTTTATGGCTGTTTGTTTGTTCGTCTATATGTCTGTTTGTTTGTTTGTTTGTTTGTTTGTCTATGTGTTGTTTTGTTTGTTGTCTATGTATTTATTTTGTTTTATTTATCTATATGTATTTGTTTTGTTTCATTTGTCTATTTATTCGTTTGTTTGTTTATATGTCTGTTTGTTTGTTTGCTTATTTCTATTATACTTTTGTTTGTTTGTTTGTCTATATGTCTGGCTGTTTGTTTGTCTATATGTTCGTTTGTTTGTTTGTATTTTTCATTTGTTTCTTGGGTATTTTTTATTGTTATTGTGTTTGATTTTGTTTGTTTTAATTTTCTGCACGTGTGTGTGTGTGTAATTTTCGGTTCCGACATGTATGTATGTATGTATGAATGTATGTATGTATGTATGTATGTATGTATGTATGTATGTATGTATGTATGTATGTATGTATGTATGTATGTATGTATGTATGTTGGAGAAACCTTGTTAACTCCGTTGTGTGCGTTCATTAATGGCCCAGGATCGTGTGGAGGTCAGCTGACAATAGAGAGAGCGGGGTAAACAGAGAGAGAGAGGCGGAGGGAAACAGAGAGAGAGGGGGGTGGAACAGAGAGAGAGGGGGGTGGGACAGAGAGAGAAAGGGGTGGGACAGAGAGAGAGGGGGGTGGAACAGAGAGAGAGAGATAGAGGGAAACAGAGAGAGAGAGGGAAACAGAGAGAGAGAGAGAGGGACAGACAGTCATAAACTGTAATCTTTTATTTTGTTTTTCTCGGCCGGTAAACTCCCCACAAACGCCTTTTAAGATATTCATGAATATTTAACTATCTGTTGCAAAGTTAGAACGTTCATTTAAATATTTAATCATAAAGGTATCTTGACCACAGTGTGCGGACCAACTTGTATATTGAAAACTTGTTTGCCTGAAGAAACGAGACAGAACTTGGCGTTAAATATATTATCAACGTTTGGCAATAAAAGGCGTGAAAAAATATATGTAACAGAAGAGGATTATTACTCGGCTTTTGCTTCTGTCCCAGTATAACTCTGTATATGTAAAGCTATTAATATTATTCTCCGTTTTGTAATCCCAAATAAGCACAGGTACTTCCTCTTATGGTAATCCTGAAACCAAATATTGCAGTCGCCTCTCGCTCCATTGTATAGAAACTGAGGCGCAGGATAAAGAAGAGGAGTTATATATGACTGTTATAAATATGTGAACTAGATCCCCGTATACCTCCTACTCACAAAAGACGGATCAGATCCCTCACCTCGGGTAGACGTGGAGCGCCTCATCAATTATTCCAGATTACCTCCCCATTTCCCCACTAAACTCTCAGCAGAACTTAAGCTAATGTTTGGCGATAGGTTGTTAAATAGTCAAGAGTCCTCTCATAACTAATCAGTGTGGGTGTGGGTGATGACTCCGTTGGTGCCCATGCGTGGTAGGGTTTGTTGACATGACGTAACAGCTCCCCGTGGTGTCAATAACGATAAGACAAATGCTATCGAGAAGTTTACAGTCCTTAATTATTTATATTTACACTCCGGGTCTCTTTTTGTCTGTTATTATAGTCTTGCCTTACGTTTCAGAGCTATAGTTTATCCAGTTGACGTTATACCATAGGCCTATATTTCAATAAGAAGCTGATCATCAATATCCGTGGACTAGACCTCATTTTGGTTGTAGATTAATGCGTATGGTTACAGTGTGTGTGTGTGTGTGTGTGTGTGTGTGTGTGTGTGTGTGTGTGTGTGTGTGTGTGTGTGTGTGTGTGTGTGTGTGTCCGTCCTTGCTAACGTATACAGGTGTTCAGGTCAATATTGAGGAAATAAATAATATCACAAGTTAGGTCAATGGAAAATTAATATACACACGTACGCACACTACACTCACACGTACAGACACAGACATACGTCCAAATATGTGTACACTAAACCACGTACATAATACACACACACACACACACACACACACACACACATATACACACACTCAAACCTGTTAAAATCACAACATTATTTACGCACATTATTACAGGTCCTGCAACACAGTATTACAGGACCTGCAACACATTATTACAGGACCTGCAACACAGTATTACAGGTCCTGCAACACAGTATTACAGGTCCTGCAACACCATTACAGGTCCTGCAACACCATTACAGGACCTGCAACACATTATTACAGGACCTGCAACACAGTATTATAGGTCCTGCAACACAGTATTACAGGTCCTGCAACACCATTACAGGTCCTGCAACACCATTACAGGACCTGCAACACATTATTACAGGACCTGCAACACAGTATTACAGGTCCTACAACACCATTACAGGATCTGCAACACAGAAAATCATTAATTAATCGTTTGATCTCATTTTTCAGAGAAGTTGTTTAACGTTCTTGAGTTTTTCGTTAATTTCGTCACAATAATGAAAGATCTCGTTCCCTCCGTCCTTGACATATACAGTATATTTGTAACGTGTCAAAAAAGTTGTTTATTTCGACGTTTAAGGTTTAACTGCAAGAGAGGCAGTTAACTATTAGATTTGATTAAGTTAGGTTACGCTGGTTTAGTTAGGATTAGTTTGGTTTAGTTAGGATTAGTTAGGTTAGATAGTTTTAGCTTAGATTACGTTACGTTTGGTTGCGTTGAGTTGAGTTAGGTTTGATTACCTGTTTTTATGGTTGTATTTAACTTACCATATATGTGTTTGTATGTATGTTTGTGTATAAATTTGCACGTAACTTTGTGTGTATATTTGAATGTACTGTATATATCTATGTATATTTGTATTTATGCTTGGACTGTATGTACGTTTGTAAAGACGAATGGTAAGGTGCTCCATTGTTTACCTTTTTCCTGTGTGATTTTATGAAGATCCACTCCATATAAAAGTACCCCAGCAGGCGAGGCAGTGGTAGTATTCACACACGACACACATAATCAGGCAGTCCCTACGTGTGTGTGTGTGTGTGACGACCCCCTCACCTAATACCACCTACTGCAGCAGCTCTGTACAGCATGTCAGTGTCTCCCTCTGTACGCTCAAGGACTAATAGTGTAAGACTGGGGCCACACAGCTCACAGTAACCTAAACCCAACCAATAACTACAGAAATTAGGCACTGAAGTCATCCCTGCTGCTACTGTTATTATATTCTTGCACAATTAACTCTACACACTAGTAAGATCCGAAGATTCGTAAACTGCAAAAGGTATTCCAGTCTTTTATTTGTGAGTCATTAACTTTAAGTACTCGTAAATTTTTGGCCATGAGCTGCCTGCCGCCTACAGTGGCACACCTGGAGGGACATCTGCGCAGACGTTATTTGGTTTGTCAGCGCAGCTGCGCCTTTCACCTCGCCATCTTGAACTTATTTTTAATTTTTGGCCTTAATGGTGGCTAATAAGCGTAAGATAAGAGGGGAAGGTACAGTAACTCTGCTGGAAAGATGCAGAAGTTAGTGATGAGTTTCCGTCTTACCCGAGAACTCGACCCTTTACTTCTCACTGAACGAAGGTATTACCCAAGCTCTCCGGTGACGTGAACCTCGCCAGTCCGGATAACTTACTGACAACTGGTGGTGTCGGGATTACTGCTACCTACTG